ACATACGTCATTCCTTTTTGTTTTTTTATAACATAAAGTGACAAACGAACAAGCGGCGACCTGATTTCGCCGAAATGGCGACGCAACCGCTGCCCGTTCCGCAATGCAGATGCGTTCCCTAACCCGAACAAAAGAGAGACGTACATAAACAGGACATTTGCCCTTCCTGTGCGTATCCTCCGCTGTCAAATTTTTTTCTTCCCATCCTTTCATCTTCAGAAAAGGGACTAAAATTATGCATCAGGTACCACTATCAGTCTGTACGCGGAATTGCTCCCACTTCACGCTTGTCTTGTGTGTGGTCAAATAGTAGTTTGGTAATGGTAGTTTTTGTAAAGACAAGATAAGGGTAAGCAGATTTGACGATAGTTTAGGCGTATAGGATATGTCCTTTCCCAATATGTGTACAATGATTTAAAAAAAAAGTAAGCAGCGCATCTGTGCGTGTTTGTAGGAAGCGTTCGTTTCGCTATTTCGGCGAAATCAAGTGACCACCTACGTTTGTTATCTTATTATTAAAAGAATTACAAATATGTTTGTAATGTATTTTAAGGTCCGATGTCGATGTCCAACGTGGTTTATCCTTCGCCGATGCCGCAAGGTTACCCCTACGTCAATCAATGCAGAATGGTGAGTTTTTAATTCTGATAGTAATTACTACTAATCTGCGTGTAGGAAGTGGTAGCCTGTGACTCAAAAAGCTATGTCAAATATCTCCTGGAATACGGATTACTGCTGTTCGGAAATATTCTTTTGATTTATATAACGACGTTTCGATTTTTTTAGTTTTTAACTATCTACCAAATCAGCGATTAACAAGTGGAATTGTGGACTTACTGTGGTTTGACTTATTCATCGTAATAAATCTAGATAAATGATGTATGTGTCAGGATGCGCCGCTGCAGCCGGTGTACCCGCAGCTGATGCCGCTGGAGGAGCACAAGCACGCCGGCGACAACACATTCCGCATCGGTACGTATGACATTATAAAAACTGTATTTTATTGTTTACATTTTGTAAAATTTTCAATTGCATGGACAAATTCAAATGCTTCAATGACAACGACGGCCTTTCGACGTTGGCTTTAATTGGTTTATGAGTAACCATGGCATTGCTTCATAGCTACTATTGGCAGCATTGTAGTTTTTGTCCCTTTCCCACACGAGGGCTTTTTCTTAAGTTTTTCAGCGTGAAAATGTACAACCAAAAGCGTGTTATAATTGTAGTGGGTTTTATTAAAAGATATTTAAAAAAATACCATGATTTCTGAAATCCTTTCTAACACCTTCGAATGCCTTTAGACAGTAATTTGATCCAATATTACAGATCCGAGTTACCCGTACGCGGCGGACTTCAGTGCAGCGTGCGGGGCGTGCGCGGGCGCCGGCGCCTGCGACCCCGCCATGCAACAACCTCCTCGCGGGTACACTTAAATATACATTTATTCATATACTAGCTTTTGTCCGCGACTCCGATCCTGTGGAAATAAGTGAGTAACCTATGTGTTCTTAGACTGTGATCTACATCTGCAAATTTTCACCAAGAATCGTACAGCAGTTCTGGAATACTTTGCATTTATAATGTTAGTAATATTGTGTTTCTCTCAGTGTAATAAGAGGTTTTTGAGTGGATGCCATCCCCATAAGGAATTAAAAAATATGAAATCTATATTATTCTTGCCTAGATCATCGACTGGTGACGCCTTACAATTTTTTTTATTGTTTGCATTTTTTCCAGTTACAACATGCCGTACGGGCAAGTGGAGATGCAGCAGTATCCTGTCGGCAACGTATTAGTTCCCCAGCAAGTACAGCACTATCCTATCGGGGTATGTATGAAAGTGATACTGTGTGATATATAGTTGTATCTTTCTCTCTGATCGTGAGTGACAGAGAACGGTATTGTGTAACATAAAGTGGCACTTCTGTTCGTAAGGACCTATCACTTATATATAGGATATATATAGGATAGCTATGGTGTTTTGTAACATACAGTGGGGATTCTCATTCTGTGAGAGACAGAGACAACGGTACTGTGTAGTATAAATATATAGTTGTACTTCTCACTCTGTTCGTAAGGGAAATATAGTTACGGTATTATGTAACATATAGTTGTACCTCTCACCCCGTTAGTGAGTGACAGAGATAGCTACAGTATTCTGTAACATGTAGTGGCACCTTTCAATCTGTTCGTGATGGACGGAAATAGCTAAGGTACTGTGTAACATATAGTGGTACCTCTTATTCTGTTCGTGAGGGTCAGAGATAGCTACAGTACCGTGTAATAAGTAGGCACTTCTCTATCTGTCCATGAGTGAGAGACAACGGTATTGTGTACCATATAATGGTACTTTTCATTTTGTTCATGAGTGAGAGAGACAGCGTGTGTTGCGCAGTACGGCGAGGCGGTGCAGTGGGGCGTGCAGCCGCAGCCCAAGCTGCTGGTGCAGGAGCTGTACCCGGTCGTCTACCCCAACGTCTACCCGCAGTACAACGTCGTCTATCCACCGGTACGCATAAGTCAAAGAGATTCATCAAATATATAGACGTGGCATACTTAATACTATACTTGAGACATTTTTCACATGATCCGTCAACGCTTTTTATTAATAGATACTCAAAACCACATGTCAATATAATTAGTTGTAATTAAAATTAATTGCCAATAGTTGTCATCAAATAATATTTAAATGTTTATATTTTTTGATACTGTTATTATAACAAAATATGGGTTTTATTATAATTTGGTACAATGTAGTTTAATGTCAATACAAGGACACAATGTCCCACTGAACTTGAGAACTGAAATAGTACCTTTCAGAGAAAGTACCGGTAAAAAAATTTGTTCGCTATGCCTCATCTATATATTCATTAATTGTCTATGATCTAATTATTAATCTGGAGTAAATCTTATTGGAATCGACCTTTTAAACACTACAGAAGTGAAGAAGTGTATACATGTCTAAGTCTAATCAGGCAATTTTAAGTTAGGAATCATTTTTTACTGAACATTACTAAATAAAGTAACTGTATTTATAAAGTAAACATTTTCAAATGAATGGTTCATCTAATTATTATATAATTTGTTATTATTTTACTCAGAATCCTTATTTCTTTCGAACCAGCTAAGTGTAAGCAAATGTAGTGGAATTATTCAATATAAAAAAAATTAAGACATATCTACTAACATTTCATAAATGAAACCATTGTTTTAATATAATAACT